AAGCATTTGAATTAAAATTACCATATTGAAATCAAATCTGATTTTTTGTAGTTTTTATCTGGTGTGCATTGGAAGAGGGTTAGTCTTATATGGCAAGTATATCCCAAACTCTATATTTTAATTGGAAAAGTTGGGGGTCGTCTCATATGCCCAGTCGTCTTACAGTAGTTTGTAGACCTAGAACGATGTGTTGAGAGGTGTGCTGTCTTCCTGGACCAAAAATCTACCCAAGATATCTAAAGAACTTTCAATTGAGCCAAGTCTCAAAAAGGGGCACATACAAGAAAAGGGGGGGGGGGGAGAACCAAAGAAGAATTCAAACAAATAGCTCATATAGGGAGAAAGGCAGAAAAGCTAAAACAGAATAAGCTCAGCCTTGCTAGAGAGGTTAAAAATAATAAAAGGGGGTTTTGGGGGTTATGTCCATAGCCAAAAGAAAACAAGGAAATACCTGGATTTATAATTGGCTGACTGATCGAACCAAAAGGGTACTCAACAATGGTTCCTTCTCTTCTTGAAGAGAAGTGACAATCTGTGTTCCACAGGGTTCTGTCCTGGACCCAATGTTATTCAACATCATTTTCGATGACATGGATGCTTATCAAATTTGCAGATGACACCAAATTGGAAGGGGTGGGTGGTAGCTAATGCCCCAGAGGACAGGATCAGAATTCAAAATGACCTTAACAGATTAGAAAGCTGGGGCAAAATTAACAAAATGAAATTTCAACAAGGAGATATGTACACTTGAGCAGTAAAAATTAAATGCACAAATACAGGATGAGTGACACCTGGCTTGACGATATCATGTACCAGTGGTATATCATTTTATAAAAAGTCTTTCAGATCATAACAGTAAATTTTAACCCCTTTGACCACATCCTTTCCCACTGATCCATTTGTATATTAGATCCAAAATTCCTACCCCATTTTATCATGCAGTCTTTTACTTGTTCCCCTTTTATTTCAAATTTTAACAATATATATTCTTCCAATCATCTGTTCATCTTTTGTACACAATTGCAGTTCAAACTCTGCTTTCCATCTTAAATCTTTCAAATAACTGTAAATATGATAACCACAGAAAACCAAAATCTTCCATCAAAGCTTTTCCTTCATTTACATGGTATATTCTCCTTGGAAATTTCCAACATATCTTGGTATCTTAACCATTTATGTTTGCCTGTTGTTTCTTTTCTATAAAAAGCTTCCTGTGCTCAGACCCAGAAAGGAATTTTCTGACATAACCTGGGTTTATTTTCAGTAATTATTAAAATCTACATTCATTTTAGCTTTATCAGACCATAAATATCCATGTCATCTTTTACCTCAAGTCATGACCTTCTAATTCTAACAATATTTTATCTCTCAGCACCATCTGTGGCACAGATGTTTGAACTAAGGCTCTGGAGACCAGGGTTTGATTCCCAGCTTGACCATGAAGCTCACTGGGTGGCCTTGGGCAAGTCACACTCTGTAAGCCTCAGAGGATGGCAATGGCAAGCACCCTCTAAAGAAACTTGTCAAGAAAACCCTGTGATAGGATCACCGTAAGTCAGAAATGACTTGAAGGCACACAAAAATAACAAAACAGAAGGCAACAACGTATACTTTCAAGGCTAGGTAAAACCAAATCTCCTTGTTGCTTTGCATCTTTCAATATTTTTAATTTCACTCTTGGGTTATTTCCCTCCCCTAAACTGGATTTTGCATACACATCAGGCAACCTTATTGTAACTCACACCATCCCCAATATACACTCCAAATTTGGTGTGAATCTGCCCAGATATTCGCAAGGAAATTATTGAATATCTCAGTAGTGCCCGCCCCACAAGTAGATTTTACATACACCATATAGCCTAAGTTTTAATCCCAAAGATATCTTTCACATTTGGTAGAAATCTGTCCAGCTGTTTTTGTGTGAAGTAGTAACATGCAAATGGACAGACCGAAGCATAATTTTATTTATATAGATTCAAAGTGATGTGAGTGATAGTATGTTTTTTTTCTCTATCTATTTGTGTTTGTTTCACAATAGTGAAATGTTGAGCTAGAAATCTACCAGTTCACTACTATTGGCTGGCTATATGAACAACAAGATATTTTAGTTACTTTAGGGCCCTTTCAAGAATGACTGAAAGAGTAATCAGTAATCAGTAATCAGGACCAAAGCCAGAAGAAGACAAGTGTGAATGCAAACAAATTACATGTGGATCTCTTTGAACAGAACATACCAACAGTCTTCTGTGACTACAGACTACAGGAAGGATATGTACCAGCAGTAAAGCTTTTAGGTTCAAATTCGTGGGGGGGTGGGGGGTGGGGAACTTATAGCTTCCAGATAGCTGACTGTAACACTATCTTCTTCAACACTATCTAGGAAGGTTAGCGATGATGGTATGTGCATATAAACATCTGGCAAAACAAATGTTACTGTTCTTGGAAGCAGTATGCATATAACCATACAACAAAACAGAAGAATGAGATGCTGGAACTGAGCTGTTGATTACATGCCCCAAGAAAAACTTAGCAATTGCCTATTACAGATGGGACTTGGGGATATAAGCAAAGGCTTTAAAATTAAGCAGGACCAGAAACATACGGGATAAAAGCCAGCAAGTGAAAAGTAAAATGCCAAGGAAACAGTCACTGCTCTCTGCAATTCCAATCACACTTGTATGAAAGCAGGGCAGAGAACCATTACCCCAGGACTTTCCCATCTGGACAGCTGGCCTTTCCTCAACTCTGCATCTTCCCCAGCCTCCACGTCTCAACTATCTGTTTTCCCATCTTCACTGGGAAGTGGGGATATGCCTCTGCCTTGGAGCTTTTCCTCTTCAATGGCAGCTCTCTTGTGTTTGCATGGTGTGTGCTGAGAAAGGGATGCTTCTTTCTCAGTACTTAACAAAGAAGCATAATTGTGACATGTGGAAGAGGTAGATATATTGGGGTGAACAGGTATGTCTGAGTAGATATGACTTTTGTAATACTCACTGCTGGCACGCAGGCTTCTGAATGGAAAAAGGTTCCCCACCCATAGACTAAAGAATCCATTCATACGATATTTTAAATGCCTGACCAGGTCAGGCTGTAGTGTATTATGATGGCTATATACATTCATGGGCTACCACAGTGGACTTGAGCCATACATACCTCCATTGCTAATAGCTACAGAGAAAGACACTGCAAGGGGAAAAATATGCCAGCAGTTGGAAAAAAGGACAGGCAATGGAAAAATACATGACAGAGAGGAGGCAGAAAAAAATTGTAGCTGAATGTAGCTGAAGGTAAATGATGCTTATTTTATTGTCCTGCCTCCCTCCCAATTTCCCCAAGATCTATCTCATGATATTTTGAAGGTTAAGGGCAGCAGAGTCCTTCATCCAAGCTAGTGCTGATAAATGCAAGAGCCAACAGTGAGTGAGTCATCAATGATGTGTAATCCAGCCCCAAAGAAGGTTGCCAACCTTGTGTGAAGAAAAGACTTGGCTGGATGATGTGTCTGGACAAACAACTGCCCACATGGCTCTGGCTGCACATGCTGTCAAGCATCAGGGAATGGGAGGGAGGCGGAGCAGCAACTACATGACAAAAGCCCAAGGATTCTTGGACTATCTGATGTTGGGGACTAGCATTCCCCACCCCCACCCCATATGTCAGGGACCGGTACCATATTTGTGTCCATGGGCTACAATTATTGCTTTCTTTCCAGGATCAGCAGCTGATGGCTCAGAGACCAGCACTGGATCACAGTCCACTGCTTTGAATAGCACTGGTTTTGCCAATGTAGGTATTAGTGCAAATTTTATTCAACCAGAATGCATTCCCAGTAAGAGCTGATTCTGTTGACCCTTCAACCAGGCCTCCATGTTAAGAGTATTCACTCTGCTCTTTATTATTAATAATGTTATCACTACCGTGACACCTATATCCTGCTCTTTAGTCAAGGAATTCAGAATGATATAAATTTCCATCTCATGCAGTTTATAAAACCAGACTTGCTTCGAGTTAATTGCACTGTGTAATATTTTTTGCAATGAAACAAACACTTTAAAATTACTCATGTATTTACTCTCCAGCACTGCAAACTGCATGATTTGCAATAACACATCTCCATATTCCTAAAGCCACCTACATTCTCTGTAGCCTTAAAGTCCCATGGAAAGTCAGAAAGGTCAAAACTCACAGGAGAAACAGTTAGGCAGGGCAACTCTGGAAAGAATAGGGGCTATTTCCCTCTCCCCATGTATGGCACACAACTCCTCCTGATGCAATCAGAAGTAACATCACCTGGTTCTGGGAATCCATTGAAATATGGCTGATTTGTGCAATTTGAGGGTTGTTTTTTTTTTTCGTGAGCAAGGATTATGGTAGATTTTATGGTGGTCTGAGTGTTATTTTCTGTGTGCTTTTTCAGGTGATTTCTTTCTTTCTTTTTTAAAGAACGGTCTCAGGGCTTTGGGAGATATAAAACACTTTTCCATGGGCCACACTTTCTCCATCCTGAAATACTCCATGAGA